ACCATTTTGCGCTCGGATCCTCTACCCTCACGTTCCCCGGATTACAGACAGCCTGACAAGGCTTTTCATAAGCAGAGGCCTCAGCGTTGCCAGCATACAAGCTCTGGATCCCAGGCCCTGAGGGATGGCCCCCAGATCATCCCCGGGAATAGCAGAAATACAGTTGGAAATAGATACCTTATGTCCAAACCTGCCTCCCCCACTTTTTTTTCTGAAGTTAGAGGTGGTGTTGTCTACTCTGGAGAGCTTTTGCAAGAGGAGAACATCTGCAAAGCTTCCCGTCCCCAAAAGCAGAGGGATGAGACCAAGGAGGGCCTTGTCAGGGAAGGAAATGGGGTTACCTAAGAAAGTAATTACTGCCAAGTAAATATTGCATTCCTTGGAGGAAGAGGGAGAGAATTAAGGAAAGCTAGTAAAGTGGAAATAGCCCTTTCCCTCTCCTGGGAAGCGCCAAGGGAAGCAGAGTAACGCGCACGGGAAGGAGCCATGCTCTGGTGGAGACTCTGGTGGAGAATGATTCCGTGTTGGCTGGGATAGACCTGAGCCCCAGTTGATTCGAGACAGCTGGCGCTCTCCCCAGCCCCAGCCCATGTGGGGGGCCCTTGGGAACCAGCTTGGGGGGCAGAGGAGAGAAGCAGTCGAAAGCCTGACTGGGTATGATCAGCTTTTCCATCCACATGACATCATTCGACATGGCAGAGACACAAACTGCCAGAAGGAAGAACCTGGTCTGTCATGTGCTGTGGGAACCCGCTCTAATCTGAACCAGCATTGCTCTCCTGGGCCGGGCCTGGAGAGCTGGCTTGCATTAAGGGGTTGCTGCTGAGGCCAAGCTGCAGGCCTGAGGCACCGCCCCCACCCCAAGCAAGCTGATTGGCTGCATCCCAACATGCTTGGGGCACTTGAGCAGGGGAGCTATTTAAAGCTGCCACTGGTGCGTGGGGCTTCAGAGTAGACTATTTCTCCTTCCCTCTGGCAGCTCCCAGACTCTGCACTCAGGTGGGGTTTCTCCGTGGTGAGTCTTGGTTGCCTCCACAAGTGAGAGTCTGATATAGAATGCACTTCTATATATTTGTAATGTCAAAATAAATTTCACATCAAGCACGAAAGAGGCAGTTCTAGAGAGGAAATGCTTGCAGAGCAATTACTCTCAGTGACTGGGTAACAGGGCCTGTCTGGGATCAAGCACCTGAACATTTGAGAGAAATCTGCTCGGTTAACGGGTTGGCACCCACACGCCCCACCCGGAGCAGAGCAGCCGCCTCATCCTCAGCTCTGTTCTTTGAACTGTGGCTTCCTCCCCTCCCATAAGTCTGGAGGAGCCTGGCTGCTGACCACTGTGGTGCTTTGAGCAGAAGGTGGGTGCTTTGCTGCTTTGCCTACAAAGGACTCAACACAGCTCTGGGCACGCATAGAAGGCTGAAATCACCCCCTTTCTCAGCTTGCCCTGTGTTAAGATCTCCCCCAACCCAAATATATTCCCAAGTCAAGGGTCTCAGGGCATACCTTAGCATAGGGATGAATCCTGCAGTACCAGCCTGTAAGTGGGGCAAAATACTGGCATTTGAGGCAGGATTCTCTGGAGGAACAGAACTGGAAAGTTGAAAATGGAGAGATAGGAGTGGGTGTGTGTGGAGGGATGTGGCTTAGTTAGTGGATGGGTTTTAAAGGATTGGCTCATGAGGCTGTGGAGATGCACTGCTGACCTGAAGCTGCAGTTTAGGTCTGTGGGTAGGCTAGACACAGGACTCCTTATTGCGAGATGGCGATGTGTGTGTGTGTGTGTGTAATGTAATATATATGTTATTTTCTCAAAACCTTCAACTAATGCAGCCCACCCACATTATAGAGTTTGATTTGCTTCATCCAAATTCTAATGATTTAACTGTGAATCTCATTTTTAGAAGACCTTCACAGCGGTGTGTAGTTTAGAGCTTGACTAAATATCCAGGTACCGTGGCCCCAACAAGTTGGCACATAAATTAGCCATTCTAGCAAACCACACGGACGGTATATGACTAAGCGTGTTCTGGGGGTCCATCAGACTCAGTCCTGATGGGGAATCTGGGGAGTCAGTGTGGGACCTGCCTCAGTGTGAGGTGACCTAAGTTCAAGGAGACTGGTGTCCCGTCTGCTGCGTGCTGCTCAGAGCCCTGACTCCTGCCGTGAACGGGAGGAAGCCCGTAGTGGAGGCAGAGAGACTTGGAGAAGGCCAAGAGGCTGTGAGTTGGAGTCTGTACCATCCACTCTGTCTTCCTGTGTTCATGCTGAGCTCATCTGGCTGCATTGCTGGGGTCTGTTGTCCCTTCCATTTCCCTTTCCCTGAGGGACAAGGACAGCCCTCCTTTGTCACCGGGGAGGATGGCTGGACAGGGCTGTTGAGACTGAAGCTGCCTCCCCACCTTGGTTTATCCAGCCATGGCTTCTGACTTGTCCTCCAGCAGTGGGTACCTCCAGACGCAGTCTTGCTAAGTAGCGTTTTGAAGCTTGCTTCATTTAAACATAACCACTTGTACTGTTGGGTTGTTGCTGCCTGGAGTAAAAAGATTGGCTTAGGGTTCAGCTCTGGACCTTTGTCTGTGCTTGGTTCTGCCATTTCTGCATTCCGAGAGTAACAGGTTTCAGGACAGGTGTGGTAGTTTGAATGTAATTGGACCCCATAAGCTCATAGGGAGTGTGTGGTTTGTTGGAGTAGGTGTGGTCTTTTTGGAGGAAGTGTGTCACTATGGGGGAGGACTTTGAGGTTTCCTATGCTCAGGATACCACCCAGTGTCTCAGTCAACTTCCGGTTGCTTACAAGATGTTGCCTACAAGATGTAGGACTCTTAGCTCCAGCACCATGTCTGCCTGCATTCCTTCATGCTCCCTGCCATGATGGTAGTGGACTGAACCTCTGAAACTGTAAGCCACCACCCCAGTTAGATGTTTTCCTTTATAAGAGATTCTGTGGTCATGGTGTCTCTTCACAGCAACAAAAACCCTAAGTCAGAAGTTGATACCAGGAGTGGGGTATTGCTATGATAGGCCTGACCATGCATTTGTTTGAAGGAACTTCAGGACTGTGGATTAGAAAAGCAGGTGAATTCTTTAAGTGCTGCTTAATGGGCCATCCCAGTAGGAGCATGGAAGACAGTGGTACAGATTAGATCTGGAGAGCTCTGGACTCTGCTGTATGATAGATGGTTCTTAGACTGGAGCAAGTATTTTCCCTGTTGGAGCCTCAGGTCCTTTGTCCCAAAGGATTAGGACATGAGCTGACCTATGGGATGTCTTCAAGGCCTTGGCGGTCTATGCACACACTCCACTTGCAACGCTTGCTTGTGCCCCGTGTTTTCTCTACTGAAGCATTTCCCTTAGCTGTTCTTTTCTTAATAGTAGAACTATCTCCTCTGATGATCCATGTCCCTGGTCCCTCCCAGTGACCCAGCTTTGCCTCAGAAATCAGCTGCTTGTTAGAATAAGCAAGGTAGGTTATCACAGCCTTCAGTGGCCAGGAATCTGCCATCTGGGCATAATGGGAGCCATGATATGGCAGGGACCTAGGGGAGCCATTAGATACAGCAAAAATATGCTGTGCAGCCACAGATGGCCTGTCAAGTCACCTTCCTTCTTCCCTGTTCCAATTTCCCTTGGTGGCGGGTACTTTGATGTTATTTAAGGATATGGCTATTCCTGTGAGCTGGCTTCACCATACTTAAACACTGGCAAGGCACTGGCTTCAGTGAATGGCCCAAGCTTCTGATAGACGGTTGTATGGCCTGGGATGGCTCATCTGCCTTCCCAATGGTCAGTTATTTCTTCTGATCATTTTAGGGGCAGAGATTATTGTTTCTCCACCATAAAAACTATACTTCCTGGAGCTAGATAAATGGCTTAGTAGTTGAGCTCTCTAAAGGACCCAAGTTTGATTCCCAGCAGCCAAGTTGCCTGCACCTCCAGTTCCAGGGGATCCAACACTTCCTTCTAGCCTCTTTGGGCATCTGCTCTCTTGTAGCATGCAATCACATACACACATACACATAATAATAAAAATGAAATCTTTAAAAACCACAATAACCTTGGAACACACCAAAGAGTAAAGGAATAAAATGACTCACGGAGAGACTGGCCCCTGGCACAGAGAACAGTGCTATAGGTCTGCTGAAGTTCATCTTACTGGATAAAATGCACAGCTGTCTGCTGACTTACAGGCTCCAGAGTGACGGAGGCAAGGTCTATTGGGTTTACCCAGCATGCATTTGTCATCATAGCATCCTTCTCTCCTTTTTCTGTTCTACACTGTCTGGCACTGCCCTCTCAGGTATAGGGCTGAGTTTTTAGGAGGAAAGCTCCATGTAGGAGCCACCATGGCCAAAGCCTTGACGGAAGGACAGGCATCATGAGAGTAGAACCAACCGCAGCCTGTGCCTCAGTTCCCAAGTGTGGAGCTCCATGAAAGCAGACTTTTTTTTTTTGCCTGTGGTGACTGACACCTCACGGTGACAGTGCCTGGTGTGCAGCCTTGTCATTCCACCATGGGTGACACACAGCTGGAAAGATTTCATGGCTGAGAGCAAGGCTTGGCATTTGTGAGAGATACTGAGTTAGTGCAGCACATCCTTGTCACGTCATATGGTTCAATAGAAGTCACTTTCATGAAGTCAGCAGCTTCTAGTTACATTCGACAGGTGAGGCTTCCCTATCGGACCTCCCTATGTGTAAAAGTAATCATTGACGTACATGTATATCGGTGGTTGTGCTGGTATCTCACAAAGGCATGAGGTCTAAACAAGGAAGAACCATAGGGCTGATGTGCATGGGATCCCTGGGAAGACAGGCCATCCTGGTTCTGCCAGGGCCTGGTTACAGGCTTCTGAGATGGTCTTGATGTGGGCACAGGGCAGTCCTCTATGTTGTGTGAACTGTGCCCGCGCGGGGTCTCCAAAGAGCTGTGGGGCTGGGTGGTCTCACCGCTGGGTGTCCGTCTTTGCTAATGTCTTTGACCCTTCATTTCCTGTCAGATCTGAGCTACAATCTGACTGCTGATGTGGCCCAGAAGGAGAAGGGCCAGCTGCCCAGAGTCTATTTTGTGTTGCTGGGAGAGACTGCCGGCCAGGTGTCAGAGAAGCTGCAGCTGACCCACATGGAGGAGACATGTCATCACTACATGGCCCACGTCAAGGTCAGTCCCCACCTCTTTCAAATCCTCGAATCTGATCTCTCCCGATTGATGGCCATTTGGACCTCACATGAGCTACTTTTGTTTCATCATGTAGCTCCGTCTTTCACAGTTCTAGTTCACAATATGCATTTCTTCTTTTAAAGTTAAAAGCGGAAGCCATCTTGTTTATCTTTAATTTTTGTTTTAAACACGGTTGTGTCGTGGAAGGGGGCACTGCCTGCCGTGGTGCGTGTGTGGCGGTCAAAGAACAACTCTGTGCAGTCCGTTCTCTTCCCCACCTTTAGGTGGTTCCGAGGATTGAACTCAGGTCGTCGGGTTTGCAGGGAAGTGTTTGACCCACTGAACTGTCTTGCCAGTCCTCTTTTCCTTATTGTGCTGTCCACGACCTCTGAGAAGCGTGGAGGATGCCAGGAGACCAGTCTCTGAGCGTGCCTCGTTCTCTTGGGACATTTTCATCCTCTGCCCTCTGCAGCTTAGCAGTCATTGGGAAGAAAGCGTCCGGAGCCATGCTTTGAGTCTCATATGGTGTCATTCCTGATGCCTTTCTTAGTGGTCGGTCCACTGTGTGACATAGTAACCCACAGGCAGGGCTAGTGCATTTTAAAACTGGTTGGACACAATTCTCTTGTTGATTACTTTATATTTATTTTAGACGTGCATTTTAGGGGCCTCTTTCCTTCCTTCAAATAAACTTCCAAACATTTTTCTCCTCTTGAAATTATTTGCTAAATATATTTTGCTGTAATTCAGGAAGCCAGGCTTTGATTAATGATGGAGTGGCTGCTGTACAGAGTGGGAGTCCTGGCTGGGGTCACTGCTGTAGAGCCAGAGAGCAGAGGAGGTGGACAGACCTAAGATCTGGCTTGAGCAGTTGGTATAATGCCTGTGGGTGTGGGATTGAATCACCCAGACCTGTTGTGGATGTAACTGTGTGAGCACTGTATGTGTGAGTCTCTGCCTCTAAAATGCTCACCTTGAAAGCAGTCATTAGCATCCAACATTGCCCGGAGCAGCGTGGCACAATGCTACAATCTCAGTACTTGGGAGGGAGAGGCAGAAGGATCATGAGTTCAAATTTTGCCTGGGCTACCTAGAGAGTTTCATCCTAGTCTGGGCTCATATGGTCAGACCCTATCTCAAAGCAAAACAAAAGATAAGCATTGCACAGTGACTATAAAAACTTTGCATGGAGTCTGATAAAGGCACTCAGAATTATTATTCTTCGGTTGGTTGGGCCATATATAATTTCCAACGTTCTAACATTTTTGACTTTTGTACGATTTCATCTAATGTTAGTGACTGTAGATTTCTAGCAGATGGACTCTGTAAATTGAAGTGTCTCTCCAGTGTTGCCTTGCTGGGGTCATAGTCAGTCAGAACAACTGCTTTAGGCTGTGTGTAGAGAATTACCTCCATGTCTGTGGCACGTGGTCTGGCCTGGAGTCTCTGAGTTCAGACCCTGAGATGCTTTGCAGCAGGGCTGGGCTCTGCCTTCTGCCAGACTCATGTCGGGGCCTGCCCAGGCCAGCTGCCCTTGACTCGGGCTGCTGGCCACTTAGCAAGCCACCCAAGCTCTTGTTAAGCCTGCCCTGCCCTTCTTGATCTTGGATTCCTTTGGCTTCCAAGTGTCCTTGAGGGTGTGGCTGCTCAGGAGAGGCTCATGTGCGAACCTTAAGATGTATCACATGGTTCTGCTTGACACTTGCTAGGGCGTGGGGCCTCTGGCCTTCCTCGTGCTAAGTCTGCTCCACAAATCTTTCCTCTGAGGCTCTTTGCAACTGCTTGCTTTGGCTGAAAAAGTCATAGCAAATGGTTCATAACAACTAGAAGTCTTGAAAGACAGGGCCACAGAGAACCTGCTGCAGGCCCTGGTGAAGTGCATCCTGGGAACAACAATAGCAAAGTGAGGGCTGGGGAGGAGCTGTTCCTGTGGTGGCCTCTGGGGAAGGCTATGGCAGAGCTGTTCCTGTGGTGGCCTCTGGGGAAGGTTGCCTCAGAGGTTGATCTAGCCTCTTCTGTTACATATACTTAGTAGATATAGCATAGAAACATAAGATTTCCTATCAAATTTGGGGCTTAGATAAACTGTTTTTTAGTATATATACAATCTCCCCCTTTCTTAGTGGCTTCTCTTTCTGGGGTATCAGTCACAGAGATCACTGAGGTCCAATAGTGTTATATGGAAAAAAAATCTAAAAATAATAAATGTTAAATAAATTTTACCACAGGATATTGCAGTTCTGTTTTTTAATGGTTGTTTCTTTGCCTAATTTATGAACTTGATCATAGGTATGTATTTATAGGGAAAATATATGTTTGATGTGATTTGCAGTTTCCTATAGCTGCAGAATGTCTTGGAACACGTCCCTGTGGATAAGGGGAGACTTGGCATCACCCAATACTGCACGGGATGCTGTGGTTTTTGCTGTACTACTGCTGACAGACTCAGCAGGCTCCAGAATCACCTGCATGGCAGATCTCCAGGCAGGCCTGTGAGGGATAACCTAGATTAGGTAAATTAAAGTGGGAAGACCCACCTAAAATTGGACAACACCATTCTCAGGCGGGGGCCCTGCACTCCATATAAAGGTGGATGTGAGCGGAACACTAGCATTCATCACTTCCTGACTGGAGGCAGCGTGACCCCCTGTCTCAAGCCCCTGCCGCCAGGACTTCCCCAGCATGGTGGACTGTCCCCTTAAACTGTGACCCACAATAAATGCTTCTTCCTTTAGGACTGCTTGCCAGGTGTTCAGTCATGGTGAGACGTAGAGTAGTTGATACAGACACATACACAAACATTAGTTTGTTTTTGAGATAGTCTTACGCTGTCGCCCATGCTGGGTTGAAACTCACCACATGTCTCCCGGGCTTGCCTCAGACTCAGTCTCCCAGCTCAGCCTCCCCAGGGCCGGGATCACAGGCTTGAACCACCATGCCACTTACCTGAAATTCACTTTTAGCTTGGCACCCCCTTGGCATGTCTAGCTCTAGTGGGCGCCACATGAGACTTCTAGGGCTTCTCAATCAAAACCTAGCTGACCAGAGCAGAAACTGAGATATGTTAGAACAGTTTGTAGGTGGCAGAGCTCCAGAGTGTGGTTGTTTGGGCCTGTTCAGGAGGAAAAAGCAGGCTGGCTTTAATGGATTTTACCTTATAGGTACTGCTTGGCTATTCTTGTGCAGCCAGATGAAGTGGTGGTATATACCAGAGGAGAGAGAGAATTCCAGGGTCTTTATGGCACAAGAGCTAACTCGGTTGTTAAGAGATACTCAAAGTCGTGAATACTCACTAGCCCCGAGGGAAGCTTTATCCTGCAGTTACTATCTGGGCCCTAACAGAGGACCTGGGTAAATGGTGGAGTACATGAGCGTGAGGGGAAATCTTAGCATGCTAGCTAGCTGTCCTCATTGTGGCGCAGCTGGCCTAGGAGCTCACAGACACAGCCTGTGGTTTACAGGGTTTGGGAAACAGCTGTGGGGGCTGTGCCTTATGTGGGGGCAGAGAGAGGCAGCAAGCATGGGGGAGGGGTGTGGCAGTGATTGCTTCCCGGCCTGGGGGTGTAGACTGGGATCTGTGCGTCAGGGCTGAGGGACCATGACATGGTCTCTATTGCATGGCCCGGCTCTCAGCAGTGCAGACAAGTCATGGATGATAAATGCAAAAGCGCCATCTTATCACACACCATATGGCCAGCAGACAGGCCGGCACTGGGCCACGCATGTTTGGTTTAGGCTATCTTTAGGCATTTTTTCTTTCTGTCCTGAAGCCTGTTCAGTACTCTCTTGTTTTCTTGTCCTCTTTCTCCCCCTAACTTTTCACTCCATGTATGGTGATGTTCTCCACTGTGGAGATCAGCTTGGACCAATACCTGCCTCCTGAGCTAGCTGTGTGGTACCCTGATGCGTTCTTGAAGGGACCCCAGGGAGGTTCCAGGTTTGTGGTAAGTCACTTCTTCCTCTTGGGGCAGTGCTGAAGCTGTTCCAGGTGCTTCTGTGACTGCTCCCCAGATGCCGTGTACCCCACTTATCTTTCCAGTCTAGCTTTGGAGGTAGGACCCCCATGGTCTCAGGTAAAATCCAAAGTACTTCCTCTTGGCTTCAGGGCTCTCAACTGCTCAGCCTCAGTTTACCTTCTTAGTTTCGTCTACTTGCACTCTGCAAATGGTCTGACTCTTTGATGAGCTGTCCTGTCTCTCTTTCCTGTAGAACCTGCCTCCCATGCTCTTCTACCTCGTCCTTGGGCTCATGTCTCTAGCTCTTCCATTATTTTAGGTCCAGTTCTTGTGTCTATATAGAGCCATGCACCCTCTTGCTTTTTGCATTCTCTGTCTTAAGGTTGCACCCCCTAACTCTTTGGTTTCGTAATTTCTCTTTAAACCAGATGACTTTTAGCTCTTTTGTAAATGAAGAGGGTTGTACCCTTCTGTGAACAGAAAACCAATTATTACATGCCTAACACACAAAGCAGCTGTGAAAACAAAGCCCACTGAAGTCAAAACAGTGTTGGTGAATTCTGGCCATTTTCATTGTTTCCCAGTCTCTGTGGAGGCGCCTGTCTACCCTGTGTGTTAAAAAGGGAAATTACTAGACCCTGAGAGAATTGAAAACATTAGGATGCCATAATGCTGTTTTCACCCTAATACCACCAGAAAGATGAATAGAGTTGACTGGGAGATAATTTTTTAAATATGATGGTCCTATTGTAGAGCCATGCCCGAGTGTCATTGACAGAGGCAGCACTGGACCACTTGGAAGCCTTGGTCAGACTCTGACTGACATAGCTCTACCCTCCTCATCTCCTGAAGATGTGACTGTTCCTAAGGAGGCTGTCTGTCCATTGGCCAGCTCCAGTCACGGTCCTAAGGAGCCTCCCTTGGGTTCCTGCCTTCTTCTGTAGATGGTTCTAAGGTACCCAACTCTTGCTTTGGGACGGTAGGCTCAGGATAAGCACCTAGCACATGGAACTTTGTTGGAATGACTAGTCGGGCTAGCTGGAA